CGGTTTATGGCTCTTAAACGTTCTCATTGTTAAACATTAGTCACTGGTCATGCAGAAGTGACGTAACTGAGTTTACCCCCCATCCCCCTGCCCTTGAATTTCATGGGGGTGACACTTAAGATGCTGCCCCGGGTGACACCCGAGATTCCGCCCCGGGTGACACCAACTCGAGTGACGCCTCTGCTCCCTACCCCGGATTATCCTGGGTGGCTAACCCTCCCTACCTCGGGTTATCATGGGTAGCTAACACTCCATACCCCATGTTATCCTGGGTAGCTAACCCTCCCTACCCAGGTTATCCTGGGTGGCTAACTCTCCCTACCCCGGGTTATCCTGGGTGGCTAACCCTCCCTACCCTGGATTATCTTGGGAGGCTAACCCTCCCTACCTTGGGTTCTACTGGGTGGCTAACCCTCCCTACCTCGGGTTATCCTGGATAGCTAACCCTCCCTACCCCAGGTTATCCTGGGTGGCTAACCCTCCCTACCCCAGGTTATCCTGGGTAGCTAACCCTCCCTATGCTGGGTTATCCTGGGTAGCTAACCCTCCCTACCTCGGGTTATCCTGGATAGCTAACCCTCCCTACCCCAGGTTATCCTGGGTGGCTAACCCTCCCTACCCCAGGTTATCCTGGGTAGCTAACCCTCCCTATGCTGGGTTATCCTGGGTAGCTAACCCTCCCTACCTCAGGTTATCCTGGATAGCTAACCCTCCCTACCCTGGATTATCCTGGGTGGCTAACCCTCCCTACCCTGCATTATCCTGGGTAGCTAACCCTCCCAACCCCGGGTTATTCTGAGTGGCTAACCCTCCCTACCCTAGGTTATCCTGGATAGCTAACCCTCCCTACCCTGGATTATCCTGGGTGGCTAACCCTCCCTACCCTAGGTTATCCTGGATAGCTAACCTTCCCTACCCTGGGTTATACTGGGTGGCTAACTCTCTCTACCCCGGGTTATCCTGGGTAGCTAACCCTCTCTACCCCAGGTTATCCTGGGTAGCTAACCCTCTCTACCCTAGGTTATCCTGGGTAGCTAACCCTACCTACCCAGGATTATCCTGGGTAGCTAACCATTCCTACCCCAGATTATCCTGGGTAGCTAACCCTCCCTACCCCAGATTATCCGGGGTAGCTAACCCTCCCTACCCCAGATTATCCTGGATGGCTAATCGTTCCTACCCCTAGTTAAATATCCCAACAAAATCTTATCTATTCCCTTCAAAATTCCCGCAGAAATGCTGTCCATCCTATTGGCTTTCTGATTATTATATATTTTGTAATGCATTGATTGGAAATAAAGACTAAATCAAAATTTAAATATAAATCTAGCTTTGCCCACTATTTCTTCCCCATAATCTGGGAACTAGAGCTTAATACTGGGTAAGCTGTGCTGGTCCTCTCATTATTACGTTAATGGGGAAACACATAACCCGTATGGTCATACTGCGCCTGGGGAAGTGGGAAGCTTTCATGCTCAAATAACTCGCACGTAGAAAGAAGCTTATGACGATGTTTCGGTGTGACTTGGACCATTTACTAAGTCACACTGTGTGGTTTTGTAAATGTGTCAAGCCGGACTGAAACATCTTCGTAAGTTTCTATCTTCTATGTGCTGGTTATTTATGTATTGTTCCAGTTACGGTATTGAGGCTTTTTTTGTTCTTTCATGCTTGTTCCAAGAAAAGTATCAGTCCAATTCCGTGGATAACGAGCCCTAACCAGTGCTACCTCCCTTGAGAGACAGAAGGCTGGCCAGTGAAGAAAAAAATTACTATAACTGAAAGAAGGGTGTAATACACTGTAAACTGTAAGCTTACAGTTTACTTCATTCATCATTGTAAGGAATGAAGCATCCTTGATTTGTCTCATAGAGGTTTGATGCAGCCTTAAAGACTCTCGAGAAGTCGTTAGGTTTTAAACTGAAAAGCTAACTAAGAAGTGTTCCGGTTGTTGCACGAACCTAGAAAAGTATCCCCACAAAGAATAAAAAAGGCACAATGTATCCCTATACCCCATAAGCCCAGCCCTCTCTGCCTTAATGATCCAAGAACAGTATCCCACACTGCCCCAAGCCCTAACTCATACTCTATATTCATCAAGAACTGCAAGAAATCACCATCTCATGCCTTGAATATTCTGTGAAGAAGGAGCCTGGACACAAGAATTATCCTACAGTCCTTAAAAAAATTACTGACATAATCCCACTCCACAAAGGTGGTAGTAAAGCAATCGCAAAAAAAACTATAGTTCAACAGCGCTGACGTCCCACATTACCAACATCTTTGAAAGAATATCGTGGAATCTCAACAGTTGCACAACACAGGGCAGCATAGTTTAGATAAAGTCGCTCCTGCCTCTCGCAACTGCTTGATCATTACGATATATGTAGTCTTAGATGCAGTGGAAGACAAGCAAAATGCAGATGTAGTTTGCAATGACTTTGCAAAAAGCCTTTGACAAGTGTGACCATGGTGTAAAAAATAATAACTGGTAAAATGGGTAGATGGCTATTTAATTTTCTAACAAACAGAACCCAAAATGTAATTTATGAACAGAGCGAAATCGGAGTCTGTCATAGTGAAAAGCTCTGTTTTCCAAGGCACAGTCCTCTTCAAGGGGGGATCCTTTTCATGGTGAAGAGGCTCTTGGTCTGAGGAATTCAAGTCTCTACTCAAAGATCACTTACTCACCCAAAACCAAATAAATACTGAATAACTGAACCTTATAAATTGTATATCTTAAATGTTTCTCACAATTATATCACATAAATGTTAAACCTAAAACCCAATCTAACTTTATTATTTTTTAAATACACTACCTAACAGAATCCTTCATATGACCTGTCTTTGTAATACTCACTTGTGCTTTATAGTAATCTGTTTACATTAATGTTTTATCACTGACTTCATCATTGCTTAGTTAATCTTAAGTTAATTTTAAGCCAGCCCGTAATGCTATGCATAGTATAAGTGGCTTTGGCATACTGCTCTTATCTGTATTTTTTTGTACCTCTGTATGTGTGCACAAATTTATAATAAATAAATAATAATAATAAATAAAAATTAGACCTTTTGGTCTCCTTCCTCAGGCCAAACCTAATTAACCCCCAATCCCCCCCTTCCTTACCCCACCCTCCCTATACCCCCTTTCTTCCCCTTTCCTCCCCTCTCCCCACCCTCCCCTTGTTTCCCATCCCATTTGTAGCCTCTGGGGTCCTCCCCTCTGGCATTACAGTTTCTAGGTAGGGGGTGGCGTGCCAAGGTTTGTCCCACTCCGTGAGGTTCCTCGGGGGTGGTGCAGTTTGCCGTGGCATCTGAATTATCTGAATGTGCCCTGTTCCCTTCCTGGATTTCCGAGAAGAGGGTGGGGTGCCCTTCAGGTAATGAGTGTATTTCTGGAAACTACCTGTCGATTTTGGGAGGTGGTGGCAGAAGGGGGTATGCTTTGTGGCAGGTTTCCAATCCGCCGAGGTAGCTCAGTAGATGTGAGGCTGCTATCCTGGAGTGCTGGTTTACTGGCATGAAGGGTAGGGTATGGCATGGGTTTCACGCTGCATCTTCACTGCCTGTGGGCTCGAGGCCCTCTCGGATGAAGGGGTGAGCTTCCATGCCTCTTAGTGACTGTCTCTCCGCTGTCCCCCCTTTTTTTTTTTTCTTTTTTTTTTTTCTAAAAATAACAAGAAAGGAAATATCATTGAAGAAGCACCTTTATTATGGAGTCTTCACCTAATGAAACCTTTCCTCCTCCCAGACCTCTTTCTGATCCCACACCCTGTTCTGACCCAGCTTCGTTATCGGTCCATTCTCTCGACTCTTCTCATACCCCTGTACCTTCTGCCGGTGACGCTTTGTCACCTGCTTCAGGTGCTGCAGCGTCACCCATTTCTGTCAATGCCTATACTTCTAGCACACCTTTCACAATACATCCGGCTTCCCTGAATACGGTGCGATGGTTTTCGGATCGCCCGCCTCCCTTATCATGGGCTTGGCATCCCTAGTTTTGAAGGTTCTCATTACCCATCCTGTCATTTTTCTAGCAGATGTGATTGATACAATGTTGTGGTCTTTGAAGGTGAGATCCTCTGACATTATCACTCCCAGGTCTTTTACATTAGTTTTTCGCTCTTTTGTGTGGTTGGAATTTGTTTTATATTCTGATATAGTTTTAATTTCCTCATGTTTTCCATATTGAAGTACATAATTGAAATTTCTCATCATTGAACTTCCTATTGTTTTCTGCTGCCCATTTAAAGATTTGGTTGATGTCCACTTGTCTTCAATGGAGGACACTGTCGTGCAAATTTGAGTGTCATCTGTATATCTATAAACTGTGTGTACATTACTATATTATGTATATAGTAGAGTAGTGCATTTTGCTTTCTAATTTTTAATATTTTTCTGAATTAGCAGGCTCTTGGACATCCCCACTTTTAGTCTGTTTTTTCAAGAGTTTACTGTAAATATTTATATGCCAACTCATCCTCATTAACTTGTTAAAATTTTGTGCTTTTTTACATTTTTAATCTTTGCGAATGTTGTATGTCACTTACCAGTACGTATAGTGTTTCTTCACGATTATAAAAACAATCTAGTTGCCACCCCATTGCCAAAAGTTTTACCTTTATATGTAATTTGCTCATTGGCAGTTAACTACATGTACACATACAGTATATATACTGTACTTTTTATGTTAAGTTAGTCATTGTTAAACTAACAAAACATAACCTAAATTAACTTAAAATACAAAATAGGTTAGCAAAATTTAAAACATGTAATTATGGTGTAAAATGTGTATATTAGAAGGACAGAGATTACTGTTGCTACCCTTTGATTTTTAAATTTATTCTTTATAATGATGGACAAGAACCAGAGAGCAAAGGTACAGGCATTGTATATAATATTAATTCACATTACAGTCTTTATTCTTTTTACAGTAGGTGTAGCATTTACAGCATCTGATAGAATACTGCACATCTTTAAGCTAAATTTTATTTTTACAGGAAGGGTTGGGCTATCAGAATGTAACAATCACGCAGTATGAAGAAGACAGCTTTAATTTGACAAAAGCCCTAGAGCGACTTAATGCAACTAGCAGGTATGTCACTGTTATTGTCTTATTGTATTTGTGAGGGATGATCATGAGATTGGTCTTTGTCACATGATAATCAATTCATTGATACCAATAACCCTGTGGTGGAGGCATCAGGCAGCAGTTGCTGGCAAATGGCTCTATAGACAGTGATATCTACTGACACAGATACCAGTGTAGTAGCTGTTGTTCCTGTGATTGACCATGACAAAGTGACCTCTGGCTAACCATTCAGATTTAGAGGTCTAAGTGTGTACATCATTTATTTGAAGCCTAGAAGTTCATTAAGTGTAAGGCTTAGTTTGAATTTTCTTTTTGTAAAGTAACATTAATGACAGTAAATTCTTCTATACTGTATATAAATGGGATTATCAATGGTAAGTCATTGCAGGAGTGATTCAGTTACTGCACTGTAAGGGGTGAATGATTTAGACACATTTATTTTGATTGTTATATTCATAGCAAGTTAAGAAACATTTATAATGATTGTTATATGCATAAGGATTTCTCAGCCTGTTGAGGGTCATTCATTTCCTGGGGAACTGAAGGTAATCAAGTTTGATCTGAGGAAGGGGAAAGAATAGCTCCACTTTTTTGAGTCAAGCACCCTTCGCTGGTATTAAGGGATTTCCCTTGAAGGGTAAGAAACAAATAATAATTATTACAATCATAACTAAGCACTAAACCTACTAGGGCCATACAGTGCTGCAGGGTAGAGTGTGGTAAAGGTGTGATATCCCTGATCAGAGACCAAGATACGATACTACGTGCCACAAACTGCCCTTCTCAAACTATACCATTCACTCATATATCCATACCTCACCTATGCTATCTGTGCTTGGGGTTCAACTGCAGCAACACACCTAAAGCCAATAATAACCCAACAAAAAGCTGCAGTAAGAATAATCACTAAATCCCATCCCTGGCAACACACCCCCCCACTCTTCATAGATCTAAACTTACTCCCTGTTCAGAACATCCACACTTACTACTGTGCAATCTATATCTACAGGACCTTAAATTCCAGTATTAACCTTGACCTAAAATGCTTTCTTGATAGTTGTGACAGGATCCACAGGCATAACACCAGACACAAACATCTCTATGACATTCCCCGTGTTCGACTAAACCTTTACAAAAATTCAATGTATTTCAAAGGACCTAAAATCTGGAACACCCTACCTGAAAACTCTAGAACTGCAGACACATTCATCACTTTCAAAACTACAGTTAGAAAACATCTTATCTCCCTGATCCACCCTGGCAACTAACTGAATGTGAACCTAGTGGTTCACAATTACACTCACTCACCCACTGACTATAAACCCAGAAATACTAATCTTAATCTTAAAAAAATAAATCCTAACTAGTCATAAGTTTGCCTATGATATTACAATATAGACACCTTGTATTGTGCCAAAACAAAAGCATTCACATTCCTAAACTCACAAATTATGATGTAGTCACTTAGCCTTAATACCATAAACTGTAAGGATCTAATGTTAAGAATTAATCTAAGTCTGCTTGAAATGCCTAGCCATGCTAGGTGTCCTAGTGGCCCCCTCTGTAATTAGTATTTTATAACATGTAAACCACACAATACCCAAAACCTGTAAACCACACATTGTAACCCTTATAGAGAATAAACTTGAATTGAATTGAATTGAAATGAGGAAGAATATGACTGGGGCAGAGTTGGAAGGGTGGTGAGGGGTGCTAAAGGGAAGCACAGGCAGGCCTCACTTTACAGTGCTTTGCTCTATAGTGTTTCACTAATACATCAGTTTTCAGCTATACTCATTCTTCATTTATTCAAACTTCCTACAATATATATATATATATATATATATATATATATATATATATATATATATATATAATATATATATATATATAATATATATATAATATATATATATATATATATATATATATATATTATGAGGGTAGTGAGGCTCAGGTTAGGGTGTGTAGAAGAGAGGGAGACTACTTCCCAGTAAAAGTAGGTCTTAGACAGGGATGTGTAATGTCACCATGGTTGTTTAATATATTTATAGATGGGGTTGTAAAGGAAGTAAATGCTAGGGTGTTCGGGAGAGGGGTGGAATTAAATTTTGGGGAATCAAATTCAAAATGAGAATTGACACAGTTACTTTTTGCTGATGATACTGTGCTTATGGGAGATTCTAAAGAAAAATTGCAAAGGTTAGTGGATGAGTTTGGGAATGTGTGTAAAGGTAGAAAGTTGAAAGTGAACATAGAAAAGAGTAAGGTGATGAGGGTATCAAATGATTTAGATAAAGAAAAATTGGATATCAAATTGGGGAGGAGGAGTATGGAAGAAGTGAATGTTTTCAGATACTTGGGAGTTGACATGTCGGCAGATGGATTTATGAAGGATGAGGTTAATCATAGAATTGATGAGGGAAAAAAGGTGAGTGGTGCGTTGAGGTATATGTGGAGTCAAAAAACGTTATCTATGGAGGCAAAGAAGGGAATGTATGAAAGTATAGTAGTACCAATACTCTTATATGGGTGTGAAGCTTGGGTGGTAAATGCAGCAGCGAGGAGACGGTTGGAGGCAGTGGAGATGTCCTGTTTAAGGGCAATGTGTGGTGTAAATATTATGCAGAAAATTCGGAGTGTGGAAATTAGGAAAAGGTGTGGAGTTAATAAAAGTATTAGTCAGAGGGCAGAAGAGGGGTTGTTGAGGTGGTTTGGTCATTTAGAGAGAATGGATCAAAGTAGAATGACATGGAAAGCATATAAATCTATAGGGGAAGGAAGGCGGGGTAGGGGTCGTCCTCGAAAGGGTTGGAGAGAGGGGGTAAAGGAGGTTTTGTGGGCGAGGGGCTTGGACTTCCAGCAAGCGTGCATGAGCGTGTTAGATAGGAGTGAATGGAGACGAATGGTACTTGGGACCTGACGATCTGTTGGAATGTGAGCAGGGTAATGTTTAGTGAAGGAATTCAGGGAAACCGGTTATTTTCATATAGTCGGACTTGAGTCCTGGAAATGGGAAGTACAATGCCTGCACTTTAAAGGAGGGGTTTGGGATATTGGCAGTTTGGAGGGATGTGTTGTGTATCTTTATATGTGTATGCTTCTAAACTGTTGTATTCTGAGCACCTCTGCAAAAACAGTGATAATGTGTGAGTGTGGTGAAAGTGTTGAATGATGAAAGTATTTTCTTTTTGGGGATTTTCTTTCTTTTTTGGGTCACCCTGCCTCGGTGGGAGACGGCCGGCTTGTTGAAAAAATATATATATATATATATATATATATATATATATATATATATATATATATATATGCACCACTCACTATAACCTAAGGATGAAAATATTTTAAGGTAAGTAATGTGTTTACATGCATTTTTTTAGGCCTAGCTATATTGCTCACTTAATATATAATAGTGCTAACATGTTATGTTATCCCAGTAAAAGTAGGCCTTAGACAGGGATGTGTGATGTCACCATGGTTGTTCATATATTTATAGATGGAGTTGTAAGAGAAGTGAATGCTTGGATGTTGGCAAGAGGTGTGGGGTTAAAAGATAAAGAATGTAACACAAAGTGGGAGTTGTCACAGTTGCTCTTTGCTGATGACACTGTGCTTTTGGGAGATTCTGAAGAGAAGATGCAGAAGTTGGTTGATGAGTTTGGTAGGGTATGTATAAGAAGGAAATTAAAAGTGAATATAGGAAAGAGTAAGGTGATGAGGATAAGAAAAAAAATAGGTAATGGAAGATCAGATGTCAGATTGGAAGGAGAGAGTATGAAGGAGGTGAATGTATTTAGATATTTGGGAGTGGACATGTCAGCAGATGGGTCTATGAAAGATGAGGTGAATCATATAATTGACTAGGGAAAAAAGGTGAGTAGTGCACTGAGGAGCCTGTAGAGACAAAGAACTTTATCCATGAAAGCAAAGAGGGGAATGTATGAGAGTATAGTTATACCAACACTCTTGTATGGGTGTGAGACATGGATGGTGAATGTTGCAACAAGGAGAAGGCTGGAGGCAGTGGAGATGTCATGTCTGAGGGCACTGTGTGTTGTGAATATAATGCAGAGAATCCATAGTTTGGAGATTAAGAGGAGGTGCGGGATTACCAAAACTATTATCCAGAGGCTGAGGAGGGGTTTTTGAGATGGTTTGGACATGTAAAGAGGTGTGAACAAAATAGAATGACTTTGAGAGTGTATAAATCTGTAGTGGAGGGAAGGCAAGGTAGGGGTCATCCTAGGAAAGGCTGGAGGGAGGGGGTAAAGGAGGTTTTGTGTGTGAGGGGTTTGGCCTTCCAGGAAGCTTTCGTGAGTGTGTTAGATAGGAGCAAATGGAGACAAATGGTTTTTAGGACTTGACGTGCTGTTGGAGTGTAAGTAAGGTAACATTTATGAAGGGATTCAGGGAAACTGGCAAGCCAAACTTGATTCCTGGAGATGGGAAGTACAGTGCTGGCACTCTGAAGGAGGGGTGTTAATGTCGCAGTTTTATAACTGTAGTGTAAGCATGCCTCTGGCAAGACAGTGATGGAGTGAATGATGATTGAAGTTTTTCTTTTTCAGGCCACCCTGACTTGGTGGGAAACAGCTGATGTGTTAATAAAATAATAAAAATGTTATCACTCTTTTATATGCATTTGACAGTGAAAAATGCCTATGATTCACTTTACAGCAATTTTTGCTTTACAGCAGTAGCCTAAAATCTAACCTGCTGTATATGCAGGACCCTCCTGCATAATCAAAGTCAGTGTAATAAAACTGTTGCTGACCAAAAGTCAAAGAGGGAGTCTGTGTCAAAGGTTGGGAAAGACACATATAAGAGCAATGATTTTGGGGTATAAAATTACTGAAGGATATGAGGGCTTTATGCCATTAAGCTCAATTGAATAATCATGATAATTTTAATAATATTCAGTTGAGCAGGAGTTTGAATTGTATAACAGCATATACAGTGGACCCCCGGTTTACGATCAGCTCCCAATGCGACCAATTATGTAAGTGTATTTATGTTAAGTGCGTTTGTATGTGTATGTTTGGGGGTCTGAAATGGACTAATCTAATTCACAATATTCCTTATGGGAACAAATTCGGTCAGTACTGGCACCTGAACATACTTCTGGAATGAAATAATATCATAAACCGGGGGTCCCTACTATATTTTAGTGAAGTGCAGGGTGCAAACAAGTAGTAAATATTTTTTAGAACCACATTTTAAATGACTTAAGCCAAAAATTTGTAAAGTATTTATCCACAGGAATGGTAATGGAGGTAATTTACCTATTGCCATGATCAATCTGGAAGTGTGGCAACCACCTAGCTCACGTGAGGAGGATACAATAGCCAAGAGTGACTGTGGATCACATTCCTCTGGTAGCAGGTAATTTGCATTACAGGTACTATATGATTGGGAGTGAGTGTGGTAAGATAAATTTTGTAGGTATCTGTGGAAATGTCAGCAGAGAGAGCATACATACTGCCTGGAGTTTACCTGCAAGGTGTTTCAGGGGTCAGCACCCCAGCAGCCCAGTCCATGATTGGTATAATAGTTAAGCAATATATTCTTTAGCAAGGAATTGCTTATTATATTTTAATTTGTAAATTCATAGAAGTGTTTTGAATAATAATTTAGTAAATGATAAAAGCCTCTCTAATGCTTCCTGGACTATGATATTCTAAAATGGGTAGGAATGAGGAACCTGAGGTACTGGCATTGTGTGTGTGATGAACAAGAATTAAAGTCTGAGTATGGAAGAATTGCTTATTTTTAATAGAATTCAAATTAATGATATGCATGAGCAAGATGAGGCAACCATTTTTTTCTGCTAGCTGCAATAGGAGCAGAGCTATGCTTGTGGTAGAGACATGTTGCATTTTTTTAACTGTGGTTTTGGCACACCTCTGTCAAGACAGTGATGGTGTGTGTGATGACGAGTGTTTCTTCTTTTTCGGGCTACCCATTCTCGGTGGGAAATAGCTGTTGTGTTTAAAAAAACAGTTTATTGTATATTTTTTTATAATATCCAGTGGTTGTAACACTTACTACCAACTCTATCAATTTATTTCATTCTTCAGATGCTGTTTGTAAAGAAAAATATCCCAGCATCCTTTCAACTCATTTTTTCTAAAGTTACATTTCCTTCCTCTTATTGCTGTGGAAAATACTAAAATTTTTTTTATCTATTCTTCCACATCCTTTTGTAACCTTGTTTGTTGTTATCATACCTTTTCTTTTCCTTCTATCAGCCAGCATGGGCATCTTTAGTGTTTTTTAGCCTTTCACCATGACTCAGATTTGTTTTTTTTAACTCTGGAATCCATTTTGTAGCTCCTTGAAACTTTTCTGTCTGATTCACATACTTTTTTTATGTGTGACGACCACACAAAAGGTGCATATTCCAAGTTTGGTATAAAATATGTTGTATGTTTTCAAACATCCAATTAAACTTCATAACTCATGAGGTTTAGGTCCTGAACACTACAGTGGAACCTTGAATATCGGCCGCTGCAATTATCAGCCGAATCGTATTTAGGCTGGTTTTTGGGCAGAAATTTTGCTCCGTATTCTGGCCAGTGCCTCGCAAATCAGCCGTATTATATGTGTCAGCCCGCATCCCACCAGGATGCCATGCGTAGGTGACTCAGTCTCCCTGTGTCTCTTGGTGAATGAGTATATACTCCACGAATTCATCCAAACATTTCCTTAAAATCCATTGGTTTTTGAGCTTGTTTATTAAGTGCGACTGTGAAATAAGCCACCATGGGCCCAATGGAAGATGTGGAGAGAGGCAGGGAGTGTAGCAGGCATGCAGGGAGGGTAGCAGGGAAACAGGGAGTGTGGAAGGGAGGCAGGGAGTGTAGTAGGCAGGCAGGGAGTGTAGCAGGCATGCAGGGAGTGTAGCAAGGAAACAGGGAGTGTGGAAGGGAGGCAGGGAGTGTAGCAGACAGGCAGGGAGTGTAGTATGCATGAGAGGAGTGTAACAGGCATGCAGGGAGTGTAGCAGGCATGCAGGGAGTGTAGCAGGCATGCAGGGAGTGTAGCAGGCAGGGAGGGAAGTAACCCCAGAGGGAGCTTTGATACCTGAAGTCCTTATGGAGGGGAATCCTCTTCCAAACAATAATCAGGCCTTCCTTTCTCCTCCTCCCTGTCTTCCATAAACCAACAAGAATCTTCAGTAAGGGTATGTAATAGTGAATTAAATGTTCATTTATTTATTTTATTTTGTTTTCATTGTTTTGTGTATGTAAAACTATAATTAATCTTTAAAAAATGTATTTTTTGTTAATAATTTTAGGTGTCTGGAACAGATTAATTGTATTGATATTAATTCTTATGCGAAATATTGCTTCGAATTTAGGCTGACCTTCTGGAACGGAGTACGGCCAATATTTAGGGTTCCACTGTATATACTATCACCACCATCAACCCAAAAATTGCCAAATTTTATAGGATTGTTTCAAAACTAAAATGGTCTCAATCTCATTATGTATAATGTACTAATACGTATACTATAATACTGTAACTTGTTATTCAACTACTTGTTAATTTAATTACTGCTAAACCACTACTACCTCTGTTGATATATTAAAAACAATGTTCAATTTGAACCAGCTATGTTATATATGTATAATATTAAGTAGTCTGTAAAGCATTAGGTTTAGTCTGCCCGAAATGCCTCAGCATGGTAGTGGCTTTTTTTGCACCTAGCAAATCAGTTTTGTAATTACACTTTGTAAACTATGCATGGAAATTTACTCCTTATAACATGTCAGTCACACACTGTAAACTGTGCCTATGCATGGAAATTTACTCCTTATAACATGTCAGTCACACACTGTAAACTGTGGCCTGGTGGCTAAAGCTCCCGCTTCACACACGGAGGGCCCGGGTTCGATTCCCGGCGGGTGGAAACATTCGACACGTTTCCTTACACCTGTTGTCCTGTTCACCTAGCAGCAAATAGGTACCTGGGTGTTAGTCGACTGGTGTGGGTCGCATCCTGGGGGACAAGATTAAGGACCCCAATGGAAATAAGTTAGACAGTCCTCGATGACGCACTGACTTTCTTGGGTTATCCTGGGTGGCTAACCCTCCGGGGTTAAAAATCCGAACGAAATCTTATCTTATCTTATCTTAAACCTAGATAATAGAACTTTTTTGCATATCTAGATTTAATTGTTTTTGGTGGTAACTTTTATTTATATATATTTCTGCATTCTTATTATTGATATTCATAAGAAAAAAATGAACATATTTTGTATTGTATAGTGTGACATATCCTTTGGTTATAGTGCTCAGTAATATGACGCTTCCCTTCTTTCATTGATCCATATTAATTATGTATAATACGTAGGATGTTCCTAGGCAGTAGGTTGGTAGACAGCAGCTGCCCAGGGAGGTAGTACCATCCTGCCAGGTGAGTGTGAAACGGAAGCCTGTAATTGTTTTACATGATGGTAGGATTGCTCGTGTCTTTTTTCTGTCTCATAAACATGCAAGATTTCAGGTACATCTTGCTACTTCTCCTTACACTTAGGTCACACTGCACATGTACAAGCATATATACACACACCGCTCTGGATTTTCTATCTTCTTACTAGTTCTTGTTCTTGTTTATTTCTGCTTATCTCCATGGGGAAGTGGAACAGAACTCTTCCTCTGTAAGCCATGATTGTTGTAAGAGGCAATTAAAATGCTGGGAGCAAGGGGCTAGTAACTCTTTCTCCTGTATGTATTACTAGATTTAAAAGGAGAAGCTTTTGATTTTCAGCGGGATATGACCAGTTTGTTGAAAGAAGAAGAATGTAGGATGTTAACCTAAATAAACAATCATTCCTTGATACCAATATTGGTTCAAATTCAAATTTTTATTTCTTTGCAAGTTTACAATGTGACTGACATGTTGTAGGGAGTCCTATTTACATAGAAAGTTTACAGTGTTTAATTACAATAATGATTTGCAGTGCAAAGAGAGCCACTATCATGCCTTGATATTTTGGGCAGACTAAATTTAATGGGTTACAGACTACAGTGGACCCCCGGTTAACGATATTTTTTCACTCCAGAAGTTTGTTCAGGTGCCAGTACTGACCGAATTTGTTCCCATAAGGAATATTGTGAAGTAGATTAGTCCATTTCAGACCCCCAAACATACACGTACAAACGCACTTACATTAATACACTTACATAATTGGTCGCATTCGGAGGTGATCGTTATGCGGGGGTCCACTGTACTTGATACTAGACAACTAGGTCATAGTTTGTTAATCTTGTACATCTGTTTTTATATACAGCAAACAGTAAATTGACTTAAATTACAATATGGAAATATTACAATGGGACAAGTGGAAAGTAGTATACAGGTTGTATATTTCTTCTTCTGTCAACAAACTGGCCGTATCCCACCAAAGCAGGGTGGCCCAAAAAGAAAAACAGAAATTTCTCATTTCAACTTTAATAATGTATACAAGATAAGGGGTTACTAATCCCTTGCTCCCGGCATTTTAGTCGCCTCTTACGACACGCATGGCTTACGGAGGAAGAATTCTGTTCCACTTCCCCATGGAGACAGGTTGTAGTATATATCAACAGTAAAATGACTTAAATTACAATATAGGAATATTACAATGGGCTATGTTGAAAGAAGTTTACAATATGAGATTGTTACAATTGAGTATGTCAGAACAACTTTTTACAGGTATTGATTTTTTACAATGTACCTGGAGTTTACCTGGAGAGAGTTCTGAGGGTCAACGCCCCCGCGGTCCGGTCTGTGACCAGGCGGCCTGGTGGATCAGAGCCTGATCAACCAGGCTGTTACTGCTGGCTGCACGCAATCCAACGTACGAGCCACAGCTCGGCTGGTCAGGTACCAACTTTAGGTGCTTGTCCAGTGCCTGCTTGAAGACAGCCAGGGGTCTATTGGTAATCCCCTTTATGTATGCTGGGAGGCAGTTGAGCAGTCTCGGGCCCCTGACACTTATTGTATTGTCTCTTAACGTGCTAGTGACACCCCTGCTTTTCATTGGGGGGATGTTGCATCGTCTGCTGAGTCTTTTGCTTTTGTTGTGAGTGATTTTTATGTGCAAGTTCGGTACTAGTCCCTCTAGGATTTTCCAGGTGTATATAATCGTGTATCTCTCCCGCCTGCATTCCAGGGAGTACAGGTTCAGGAACTTCAAGCGTTCCCAGTAATTGAGGTGTTTTATCTCTGTTATGCATGCCATGAAGGTTCTCTGTACATTTTCTAGGTCAGCAATTTCACCTGCCTTGAAAGGTGCTGTTAATGTGCAGCAATATTCAAGCCTAGATAGAACAAGCAACCTGAAGAGTGTCATCATGGGCTTGGCATCCCTAGTTTTGAAGGTTCTCATTATCCA